CCCATTGAAGGGAACAGGAGTGGCACAGAATGCCCTGAGCAGAATTCTCATCCCATTGAAGACACCAGGCTTTTGTTATTAAATTCAATGGGCCTCTGCATGTGAGCCCTTCCACCCTCCCTGCCCAGGCAGCTGGGATAGTGATCAGAGCCACGGCAGAGATGGAACTCTCAGGGGGTCAGGAGGAGCTGACCCTCGCTCTCAGGGGGTCAGTAGCTGCTGACCTCACCTGGCTCTGAGTCACCACCCCCAGGCCAAAGGGCTGGTGGCAACCGGCTCGGGGACTTGCCCTTGCCGAGGAGGCTGCAGGGCTCTGGGGCAGGAGGAAGGATTTCTATCCAAGGATCCTCCAACAGCCCCCAGAGGAGCCCAGCACTGAGCTGTGGCAGGGCTGGGACAGAGCTTTGGTGTGAGCTGCCTTCAGCTGGAGTCTCCCAGCACTGCAGGGAGATGGAGCTTCCCAGGCAGGGACACAGAGCCCAGCTGAGCTGCACTCACCTCCCAGTCCCCGAGAGACCCTCTGCCCACTCACTGTGGAGATTGCCCTGAGCTCTCAGCAGACACCCTCATTCCTGAGTCCTCCCTCCTCACTCACTGTGGGCACACCAGAGGATGTGTCTCCTTCCCTTGGATCATTCCCGAAGCTGCCAACCCTGACCTCTCCTGCCCTGAGAAAGCTTGAGGAAAATCAGAAAGCTCTACTAGCCAAGGAATGGGTGTTGCACCCTTCTCCCACCTTGGTGAAGGAGTCCAGCAGGTAGTTGATGGTGATCCAGCCATAGGCCCCCTCCTCCTCTCCTGTGAGGATCCGAGCCCCTCTGAAAGCCACTGGGTACTCCTGCATGGTTTTAGCAACCTCAGCCAGGACTTGCTCTGCTGCTGAGCTGTTCTGTTCCCTAGGAGGGATGCAAAGGACAGGACACATACCCAACTACAACAGAGAAAACACAAACAAGGTCTGGTTCTCTCCCAGTTCCACATACTCCCAGGTTTTGCAATCTGTCTGAAAGGGTTTCCTGCCACATGGCTTGTCTGAGCTGCTCATCCGAGGTGAATCCCAGCTGCCTCAGCTTGGCATTGCCAATGTGGGAGCAACAGCAACCCCTCCCCTGCAGTGCAGCTTGATCCCAGTCACCCAGAGCCATCCCAGCCACCCTTCCTGCCTGGCTGCTGAGCCTGGAGGGGTTGTGCTGCCAGAGCTGGGTTTGAGCATCACCCCCTGGCTGTGCCCGGGCTGGTTGCTGACCTCTGGGGTTTCAGGAAGGTTTCAGGCTGGGTTCAGCCCTCCCAGGGGGGAAGATGTCTCAGGGCTGTTCTTGTTCTCTGAAGTGAGCACCCTTCAGGCTATGACCCAGGGCACAGAAATAATCTGCAGCCATAAAACCAAGGGCCATGAAATGAGGGCTGCCATTTGAAGAGAGCTAATATGGGCTGGTGAAAGGTGAGGACAGGATCTGCAGCACTTTGTTGCCTCCAACTTCTGCCCCACCAGCACCCATCCACCTGGGTAGGTGGCACATCAACTGGCACCCCAACCCCCTTGTTATTAAGGAATGATGAAGAACAAACAAAGCAGTGAAAAACATCTCTTGCTTAGAACTGGGACATCCTGGGGTGTCCCAACAGACATTGCTCAGGACAGTTCAGCCCTCCCTGTGTCCCCACCAAGCTGCCTTTCCCCCCTCTCCTCCCTGCCCTGTGCAGGAGCTGTCCTGGCTGTTTGCAGCTCTGTCACTGCTGCCACCCCTGTCCCCAGCAGTACCTCAGCAGCCTCATGCCAGCCGTTGCTCCAAGATAAGCTGGGACATCCCTCTGCTTCTCAGCAGGAATAACCTGCAGGGCTTTATCCAAGCACTCCCTTAGGGAATTGCCAGCCTCAGGGGGATTGTTGGCATAGCTTGATATGCCTTGCCCTGAAAAAGAGTCAGGATGGGACAGGCAGATGGGAATGGCTGGGGTCAGGGTTGTGGGAACAGGAGGCCACAGGGCAATGAGGGCTGTCACCTCTTAGCAACAACGGTGCTTTTCCAGGGCCCCCTGGTCCCCTGAGACCTGACTGACTCGCACATCTATTCCCCTCCTGTGTCTCCCTTGCTTCCAGCAGTGTCACTCTGGGTGACACCTTCTCCAGCCAGGACAGCAGCTGGAGGCACTCCAAGATGGAGGGGCAAAAACTGATTCACCATCAACATCCAGCCCCCCCAGTGCAGGGGCACCACAGGTGCTGAGGGACCCCCAGCCACAGCCAGAGCTCCCTGTGCCCCAGTGCCAGCCCAGGGACAGGGCTGTCCAGCCAGGCCACCCCTGCCACCATGGAACAGGGCAGGACAGAGCCATGGCAGGGGGATACTGACCCTGCACATCACAGGACAGGGTCTGGCTGACCACTCCAGTGTCGTTCTCCTTGTCCGAATCCCACTGGTACACGAACAGAGAGGTGTGGGATGAGCCTGCATCAAACACCATCCCATACTGCAAGGGAAATCCACACACAATCAGGCAGGGGGAGCAGCAGCCTGGCCCTGGCCCCACTGTGGCCCTGCCAGGGCAGTGGGGCCAGAAGATTCCCCCAAACCCCTGTCTGAGCACAGAACCCATCAGCTGTGCCGTGGCCTCAGCCCCCCACAGTGACCAAGGGACTGTCGTTCTCTCTCCTGAGGTCTGTGCTGCAATGCCAACCCACACAAACATTTCCTGTTGTTTCCTCATGCTGTTTTGTTTTATTTTCTTTCATGCTCACATACCTTTTGTGTCTGCACTGGCCCCACCTTGGGGCCAGCAGCTCTCCCATCTCTGGTGCTCCCTGCGAGCCCACGGCAGCGCCCAGCCTGGGCAG